ATAAACAATTTTAAAAAGTGTAATCAATTCATAATCGGTTACAAGTAAAAAAAAAAAAAAGCGACCACAATCATTATCATGTTGAATTGTGAAGCTATGCAAGATAAGCCTGTAAATTTATTTTTCTTTTTCATGTTGAGGGAGGGAGTTTTTAACCCATCTCTCTTTCGACAACCAAACATAAATTTTAGAAATCACTTGAATTATAAATTCAGGCGCAACGTTTTCTCTATCTTGTTTTATATATAAAGAGAAAAAAGGGAAAATCAAACAATTTTATTTTTTGTAGATTAGTTTTGTATTATGAATTTGATAAAATTAAAATTTATGTTATACCTCATTTATTAATGATTGTGATTAAAAGTTTTAATATTATATCTAAATTTTTCCTTTTCTCATATATATATATATGTATGTGTGTGTGCGCGCACGTGAATTTGTATAATCAGGACTCTTATGGTGGATTAAATATATTTTTTATCATAAATTTATATTAAAAAATAAAAATCAATATTCAATATATTAACTGTCTAATTAAATTTATTCACTTTATACTTACACTAAAATTAATATAACTTTTACAAATTTTTATATACGTTTATAAAAAAAAAATACTTTTAACCTATGACACATGCTAGAAAAATCATATATATATATATATATATATATTAAGAGTATGTATTGGACTTTAATTATAGCCTACTTAGTTGGGTGGATTCTCCTTTTAAGAGTATGTTTAATTAGCAATTTTTGTGATATTTTGTTATCTTAAAAAATATTCTCAAGTGTTTAAAACAACTTTGTGGACAACAGTTTTGTTCAAAAATTGTTAATCAAACAACATCCTAAAAAAGTTGACTAGTAACAGTAACTATAGTCAAAAAGAAAAATTAAAAGTGATTGTTTGTTTTAATTAAATTCTAATCCCCCACTCCAACATCCGAAAAGGGAAAAAAAAGGGAAAATATTAAAACCTCTCCTCCTAATTAACTATTATGGCTTATACAATATTAAGGTCAATTGGTACCTTCAATCATTTGATGAGATGATGCTTAAAACTACTTTATCAATTTCCAAGCACTCGCATTTTTTTAAAAGGTCTATGGAGCTACAACCAATCACACTTGCCAAAAGGAATGAAATATGGTTTCTTTTTCCTAGAAGAACGCAATGTGGCTTCGAATTGGAGTAAGTTGGATAAAAGTAAAGTTAAAGGTGGTGAATGCTATATTTAAAATTCCTTTTGTAAAAGTGGAAAAAGAACTAAAGTGAGTGGACCCATCTAACTTGCCTTTGAAAAGGAAGAAGGAATGGAATTTGCACGCAGGCCGCAAGCCGAGTTGCACAAGAGAAAACGGAAAAAAAAGAAAATCTATATTTTAAACTTTATAAAATTGAAACCAGAAAACCAAATTATTGGCTTACAAAAATAAAAATTTAGATAATTGAATTAATGAAAATCCTTTTTGTTCAATATTGAAAAACAAATAAGTAAAGTTACATATATTAAAAAATATTATAATTATGATATTATATAAAATTATAAACTTATAATACAATGCATCTTATATAATTAATTATTTTTATTTAAAAATTCATTCATAATATTTTATACATTTACTCATTTAATATTTTATTATAATTGTAAGTTTAAAATTCTCTCTAATATTGTAATTATAACATTACTAAATAATAAAGAAGTTTATATGGTAGAGTAAAAAAATTTGTAAATATGAGAATTTTCAAAAGTTAAACTTCAAGAAGTTACATATCAGTATTGATAAAAACCCCATAAATCAATATTAATTCTAGCCTTCTCCTTTGTTTTTCTGCAGAAAATGGAAGATAAAACCAACAAATAATTGTTGGGATTTACTCATTTTCCTAAAAAACACAAGATGCGGCAGCAAAACTGCAAAACACTACAATATGCTTATTCTTTCTCCTTAATCCAGATACAATAACCATTTATCTTCTTTAAGACCAGTGAGAAATGCATGTCAAGGGGAAATATATTGTAAATATTGTGAGATCAGTTCAAGGTCAAGTCAGATACTTCAATCAGAAATAAAGCTTTTGAGTTAAAATAAACTACTGCTACTGTAACTAAGACTTCCCCATTATATCATCCCAACATTTCCATCCACCCTAACTACAGAAAAAAAAAAAGGAAAGAACAACAAGATCCATAACTTGATTTGCATGAGCTTTGCGATGAGGGTATACCAAGGTTCAAGGAATTGTTGAGAGACACTGTTAAAGGAGAGAGACAATTTCCAAACACCACCTTGGATTTGCTAAATCACAAGTACTGCTCTTGTATTCTGGCTCGGTTTTCTTCCCACCACAACCTTGCATGCATTTCTCCAAATCTTTCTCGGCTGCATCACACATAAAATAATGATTCAATTACCAAGTTCAAAAAAAAAATAATAATGATTCAATTATAATGCATAAAGCTTGAGTCAAACTAAATATAGTTTAGTTTAAGAATAGCAATACAGTGAGTTTCACTTATTCTCAAAGTCCAGGGGCTCTGGAATTAAGAAAAACAATACGGTCTACCAAGAGCAATAAAGAATGAATAAGCCTTCCAACTTTATAGCCATGAAGATTTAAGACAATCAGTTCATCAGCAGGGAGGAAAAAACCACATAGCAAATTTAACTTTTACTAGAACTAAATTCATGCCCCACAACTTTGTTGCAAGGAAGGAATGAAAAAGCCTTGAAGGAAGTATAACATCGCCTATTCTCCAAGTCAGAAAATTCACTTACCTGAAGCGAACACGTCTAAGCTCCCGAGTACCACCTGGCAGTGCTCTGATGGTGATATACACCCCTGGTTCATCCTGTTCAACCCATTCAGTCTCCATATCACTGGCATTACTGACTGAAAGCTCTCCGGAGTGATCTGCCTCTCTTGAAGAACTAGTCCTTACAGATCCATCTACAGAAGATGTCTCAGTCTTTGCTCCACCAATGCTGGAGAGTTTTGGGGTTGAAGCAAGTGCAGCTGAGTCATTATGATGATGGGATTGCGTTGGGTGGTGATCCAGTGAATCTGATGAAGAATAGCCAATTGGCCCAATCCCTGTTTGATGCTGGAAGTTTCGTGGGCGTTCTTTGTTTAGAGGGGGAGTCATAGGACTGTCTTTGACAGATTCAATCCTTGAGCTCTGGAAGAGGATGAATATCAATTTAAATACCATGGACACCTATCATTTAGACCAATTTCCTAATTTCGAAACAACCCAACTGAGCTCTTCACGAAATTTCTAGGCAGCAATCTATTTAAGAATAGTGTCAACACATGGTAGACAGAATGAAGTCAGGAGAATGTTTCTTGAAACTAATGGTTATAAGAACCAGGTAAGGCTCCACCATCAAGGGTGATAGGCGGTTTGCATGTATCCATGAGATTAGTTGAGCCAAAGGTCTAGATACTTATGGTATCCCCAAAAAAAAAAAAAAAAAAAAAAAAAAAGGAAGAAGAAACTGGTAATGCTTAAGTGAAAGTTGACTGAAAACCAAAAGAGATGGAATATGACCCACAATCCATAGCCATTGGGTACATTCTAACCCCAAAACTTGTTCTGTTTGGCCAGTACTTCCAATCCCAGATAGCCACATCACTTGACTAGATTTAAGTTTTTGAGATTGACCATTTCAAAAGAGGTAAAGTCAAGCTGCAATTAAGGGTAACAGAAAGTACTCAAAACAATAAATCTTTTAATAGGTATACAGATAGCAAGCTTACCTCATCTTCAGATCTTGGGGGAGTAGGAAGTGGGACTGCTTGGTGATTGAAGCGTTGAACATTGTATAATTCCATGACTTTCTCATAGTTCTCTGCCCACCATCTCTGAGCTTGCCATTTGTTAAACATTTCCCGACTGCTCAGAATTAACAAAGAAAGGGTTAAAGCACCAAACCATCAAAATAAATTGGGACTAAGCACCTTGCCATGTATTCTCATTGAGCACACAAAGGGAAATGAAATCTGGTGTCACAATAATTTGAATAAAGCTACTATTTCCCCCTTTTTAGGGGGACCCTGGCACCCTACATCTAAGTTCCAGACTCCAGAATAGCTCCAACAGTTGCAAGCAATGTAGCAATATCAGCACTTCTTTCAATTACACAGAACAGAATCTCTACAGAAGAAAGGTGCCCAGTAAACAAGCCACTACATACCAGAAACATACGATATCCTCTGTTTTCAATCTTTATTAAAGTTTACAGTTTTGAGCAACATGAGATAGGAAACAATCAACATTGTTCATCAACATGATCACCAACTGAGTTGTCATACTGAAAGAGAGGTTCGGACTTCTTCTAAAGATGTCAACAAAAGGAAATTGCTGGATAATTCACAGAAATTTTTGTTGGTTCAAAAAAGAACGACCATTCATCACGTATTGTAATTTTGCCCAGTTAATTCCAGGCAGGGCACAATGAGATTTGCATGCCAAGAGCAAACGTGCACAACATATGTTATCAGTTCTTGTGCTGCAAGGGCCACCAATCAGTGCCCAACATTGTACTGCCTCCTGGAAGAGGAAGATGACATAGAACTACACCCTCAATTTTCTCTCATTCAGTCAACTTAAACCCACAGCAAGCTTACAACCCACTTTTATAGAAGTACGAGAAATGTTTAGACTTATGGTTTAGCCAATTAATTTCTTTTCAGGCAGGAGAAAGAAAAAGTTCCAATTTATGGTCTAGCCAATTTATTTTTTCAGGAAGGGGAAAGGAATAGTTCCGTCTTAGCAGACACTCTGTAAATTAACTGGAGATGCATGAAAGTAATAATGTGGGTGGGTCAAGCATTAAAGGAAAGACTATGGGGGCCACTTCAATCATGCTAGGTGAATTTAACCCACAAGCTCTGGCAAAATTTTAGTGCAGTAGTCTCAGGACTTTCAACCACAAAATGACAAGAGGTAATGCCAAGAAGCAGAAATCTTTTTACCACGCAATATCAAGCAAAAGCAATTTAAGGGCTTAAACAAATTGAGACTCTCAAAATCAATCCAACACTGAGAATATGTCCAAACAAATAATGATTTTGACATGGCTACATTTCAAAGGATCTTTCATCCCCAAAAAAAGATGCACTCCATGCTCAAAATGAACAATAATAAACTTCAATAACTCATCAAGAATGGGAAACCTTTCAACCACAAGGGAATATGTTTATATGGCTCTCACATGAACACCAAAGACATGCAAACAAATTAGAACCTTCATTGTCAAAATAACAAAAGTGAAAGAAGCAGTACCTGAATCTAATCCGCTTGAGATCATTCCCTCCCTCAGGCAAAGAAACAAAAGTGATAAGAACTCCAGGCTCCACCTGGGCAACCCACTCCTTAGGCTCCTCTTCCCCTATAAAAACCACTGACTCCGTACGCCCGCTAACAGACACTGGTGTCCCTTCCCCACTTGAAAGCCCCTTCAATCTTGCTTCCATCTCTTTACCCCAAATCCTTGGAGTCGAATTCGCACTTCCTGTTCTGCGGTAAGGGTAATGGAACCGTGCTGAGTCTGAAGCAGCATCAGAGTCTGCGAAATTCCGGTTATGGTCATGGTTTGACGACCCTGAACACGGCCTACAGTTCTTATAAGCTCCTGATGCTTTCAGGGCAATGTCCTTAATCTGGAATTCAACAAATCAGTTCACTTGCAGTAAGCATCAATCTGAACTCTGAATTGCCAAGCAAATTTAGATTAGAAGAAACCAAAAAGTCTAAGTTTTTCCCTTTTATATCATCCTTTCTCTGCAAAAGTCGACTAACTCTGATAGGTTAGTGAGAAAATGAAGGAAAAAAAAAAAGGAGAAGAAAACCGAAGTTTAAATAGAAAAATAACCCTTGCTTGGTTGCCGGGGAAATGAAGGAAGGAAACCAATCAAAGAACCAACAATTGATCTTTTCCGATTTTACTTTTGTCTCCATAAAGGGGGGAAAAATCTAAGACAGAAACGTTTTGAAAATCAAAAACAAGCCCCGCCTCCTCTCCACAAAATCCCTTTATCCCTCTCTTTCTCAGCAGCCGAACAGAAGAAACGGGTACCTGAGCAGTTAGCGCCTTGATGGCTTGCTTGGTCCTGGGAGTCTCCATAACATCTTCATCCTCTTGCTCCCCAAGAGATCCATTGTTATTGTTTAGCTGCTTCGAACACGCTATACAAGTCAACATCACCCCTTCCTTCAAGAATCTAACAACAAAAACAACAACAACAACAACCCAGATCAGATTCAAAACCCAAAAGTCAAAATAAAAATCCATACTCATAAAATCCAAATATCTATACCCACATTGTATATGTTATATATATTTGGTATTGGGTCCAAGGAAGTTTCTTTTCCTGATGCTTTCTTTCAGTCGAGAAAACGAAAGCTGATTCAGTAATCTTTCAGTATTCTCAGTTCCAGTGAGTGTCACTTCACTGGCAAGACAAAGAAAAATCAGAGATCGAGATCCCACAGTCTGAAGGGACAGAGAGAAAGGAGAGAGTAGTGACAAAACAAGAAAAGTGACCGTTAACGGCGAGATTGGGGTTATTTAGGAGACTGAAAATTTGGGTAATATAAAACAAAAGAAAACAGATATTTCCTCACTTTCTCTCCGCACTGTAGATGATGAATATTGAGATTTGGGCAAAGAGGGCATGTGGATTGTGGAGAGGAAAGGAGCAGAGGGGGCGGGAGTGTAAAGACTGAACTGTCACTGAGCGCCGCCTTTATAGGGGGTGGCGCCACCCTACAGGGACCAGATCAGCGAGGAGGATGGAGTATGAGGGGAAGAAAAAAAGCAAAAGGGCCTGAAAAGAGACGCCAAATCTCAACACTGTCCGGGCGTGCGTTAGTCTTTATTCCATTCATGGGTGAGGGTTTAGAAGAGTGAGAGGTGAGGAGGAGGGCAGAAGGATTTCTCGTGGGTCGCCATGGACACCTGTCATTCTGAAGGATTTGATTGGATCCCATCATTTTAACTTGCCATTTCATGTGGATGGGCGGGGTGGGTGGGTGGCTGGTGCAATTTAGCACGGTATTTATGAATGTTTAATTGTTGTTTGCTTTTATAGAAACGGTAATTGATGGAGTTAATGTAAAGAAAATTCCATGCACTTTATAGAATGGTACCAATGGGTAATTGATGGAAAATATACATTTATAGAAGTTAAAATTTTTAATTAATTTATATATTTAAAAGAATTACATTTTAATCTTGACTTCTAAAAATAATTAAAGTTTTAACATTAAATTATATCATTTTATTTTATTAAAATTTAATTTAAATTTTAAAAAATTATTTTATTAAATATTGATATTTAAATTTAAAAATTAATAAAATTTTTAAATTTTGAGTTTAGATTTTAGTTTCTAAATACAAGTTAAGAGGAGTCGAAACTAATAAATACTAACTTTTAAAAAATTACATTTTAGTTACACGTAAATATTTATCCAATAAATAAGAATATAAGGGATATTTCTCTATTTTCTTAATTTTTTTTATTTATATTAAAGTTTAAACTCAAAATTTTTAATTTAAAGTGTAAATTTCTTAAGAAAAACTGACATGGAGGCATTATGTTCTTTTGCCTGGATCAAATTATTGAATTGAATTTA